GTCTTCCTATCCGTCGTGGGCCTCCTCTCCGCCGTAGGAAGGACGTTGTCTTTTCGTTCTGTGACGTCTGTCGGCGTGCTCTGAATGGGCGCCAAGTGCTGTGCTATGCGCTCTGTAGCATAATCCTGAAACCGCACCGGCGGGCGCACAGTCCTTCTTCCAGCGGCGTACATGCTTTCCTGAATGTCCCACTAAGCCGCCGCAGGGCTAGGACGGATTGTCGCGAAGCCGGGTGAGAGAAGAGGCGAAAAAAGGGGAAGGAGTTTGACCTTGCCGCGCTTTGCTTGCGTTCTCTCCTCCGAGCGGACGGAAGTGACGTCAGAGTCGTGGCGGAGGACTATGTCGCAATTCTCCGTGATTAGGCCTTTCAGCCCGATCACACCATGCTTATTTTCGAAACATCCCCATGTCGTTGAAATGTTTTCGTCCGTCGGACCGGTAGTTGTAAGTCGCGGTCAGGCTGATGGGGACGGAAATGTGGGGTGGTCAGTGGTCAGCATTACGAAATGTAAATACCGATGACGTAATCCTATCGATTTCGAACTGGTCAGCTGTGGCGACCTAGTGGCGGCGTGTATTTAGTCACGTAGCAACTGGCCGGTCGTCCTAGCAACGAGCATGCTGGCCGCTTGTCTGTACACATGGCCAATATTTTTGGGTTGGGCCGCTCCATAGTGTTAGTGGAGCAGCTCTTTGTAAACATGGACAATATTTTTGAGCAACCCATCAATGTGTTCTGCCTCGTGGTCGGATGTGGTCTGGGGCTGGTAAACCGCACATACTAGTAGATCGGGTAATTTTGTGATTTGCTAGTTGTAAAGGCGTCTTGTAGTATGAGCCGGTATATGAAGAAGTAGCCTGTGTTACACAATCATGCTTTCGGCCGGATTGATGTGCAACTGTTACTAATTGCAGGGACTGCGCTAATGCCGACCAGTCGCGCTGTCCTGATACACCGCAAATGTGCGAGTGTTCCCTGTAGACAGTCCCGGGAGCACATTCCAGGAGCCAAACCAAAATACGTTCATGAACCGAGTCCAAAAAACCGAAACGTGAAAATCGGATGATCGTACCTGATGTACATTTCTCTTTCTGTAGATTGTACACACAATACACACATCTTTAGATAATCTGGCCATAGCAGGTAAAAAAAAAGTAACCCTGAATCATACTACATTAGCGTAAATGCATGTTTATGCGTTCAAAACAAGAAAAGAAATTGTTTCCCGGTATTAATCTCTTGAAACACGGCGCTGAATATTGACGCAAAAATATTTCGGGCATCACGCGCCCTTCCCCGTTGTTTAGACTGTATGCAAATCCCGCGTCACGTGTCGGCATTTCGCATCTCTGATTGGTTGTTGCGTCTTAAGATGATTGAGCCGACGCGCGTTTAAACAATTTTTCTTTGTTCGATTTATCACACTTCACAGAGAATTGTCCCCAATGGCTACTTCTTTTTGTTGCAATATATAATACTTCACGGAGAATTGTCACCTATGGCTTCTTGTTTAGATTTTGAACCAGCCTGGTGTGTTGACTTCATGGCTCCCATCATACCATTTTGGGCCATAATAGGATGCCTAGGCCTGTTTTAATTTTTATTTTCGCCTGCCTGCTCCATTATTTTTCTAGAAAAATCCAGTAACCAAGAAGTTAAACTGGTGTGGCCTTACAATGTATTTGTCGGATCATTTGTGTTAGAAGTGCTAGAAAAGTATTCCTGACCTTTCAAAAAAAAACTCTGTACATTATATTGTATAATGTATGGTGGGACGTTTTTTTTTCAGCCCAAACCTATGATTTAGAGCCTGAAACCCGTTATACAGGCAAATTTTTCCAAAGTCACTATTTCCTTTGGAAATGGTCGGAAACAATTTTCTTGCATTCCTAATTTAAAAAATGCTACCTACCGACTCTAGTTTTTCAGGAGTGAAACTGGAAACAAAACATTAATTTTCCTAGGCCTCATGGTACTGTGTGTAATAACATTATTCTTTTCTTTCCAATATAAATTAATAATAATAAATCATGATTTTGCAAAGAAAGACTATACTGTAACAGCATAGTCACATTGACACAATTGGAATTCTAAGAATGAACAATTTCTGTACTTACCCCTTTTCAACTAGTTCAAAAACTGTGAAAAGAAACAAAGGATTTTTAGTATTACAATTAAAAAAGAGTTCCACGATCTCAAACATTCGCCAAACTATGTAAACTGATGAAATATACATTTTTCTCATTGGTTATGGAAATAAGATCCTCATGTCATTTCCATCATAGCTATATCAGCTGATCATATTCTTATCTAACCAATTTTTAACGTCATTTCCCCCTTAACTGGCCTGGGGGTTAGACTTGCTTGCATCAAGTTCAAGTCTTTTTTGAAGCAAGATTTTTTAAGGCTGGATGCCCTAGAATATTGGAAGATATTAAGTCTGTAAACTAAGATCTAATTTGCATTAATCAATGAGAAAATGCTTTCATAATTCCATAGTGGTAACTGTTATGAATTTCATACTGGGGGTATTTGGAAGTTAATTGAAGGCAAATATCATTAAAATCACTTCTTGAAATCAGGACCTCAATTGCATAATTTATGAGGAATTCTTATGCTAGAATGGCTTCTTTGTTAAGAGAAGACATTGGGTGGAGAATATGATTTGCATATTAATCAATCAGGAAATATTAATTATGGGTTCACCACACCACGAAGTGGTGTGGTGAAACCATATTGCTTTTTCTGATGTTTCTTCTTCTTCTCCTCCTCCTGCCATTTTTTAAATGGATTCAGCTTCTTCATTTTAGGGCCCAAGGTCCTGAAATTTGGTATGGAGGTACAGTGGGCAAATACCCCTAGGCGTTTTTTAAATTATTGTGATACAGGCTTTTAGAATGGTTTTATTTGAGTTTTTTGGCTGTGTTATAGCAAATGTATTACTGTGTTAGTGTGCCTTGTTTACCACGTTTGGGCATGAGTCATCACAATGGAATGCAGGGCATCAACCAATAGGCATGCAGCTTTCCTCTATACTTCTTGCTGATTGGCTGTTGGGATTTAACTTGATTAACACCTGCACAGAGCATTTCCACCTGCACAGAGCATTTCTTGCTGATTGGCTGTTGGGATTTAACTTGATTAACACCTGCACAGAGCATTTCCATACTGACAGTATGTCTGTATTCAAGTGTTTTGGTAGGTATTTCAAGCTTTCCTGCTCCAGCATTGGAATGCGGGGCATGGACTTTTTTTTTATTTTGAAAATCAACAGTTTGCATTATGCAATTAAAACTCCTAACCAATAAAGTAGGGAATAGCTATCCAACTGTTGTTTTAGTTGTATTTTACTTCATATTATAGTTATATCAATGTAAATCATTGTTTTCCCTTGTGTTTCTCATTCTTTCCCTGCCATGTCGTAAAATGTGGTGAACCCATCGCTGTATTTGCTCCAAAGCAAATATTGGCCTTTCTAGTTTTATGAATAAATCATCAGTTTTAAAGGATAGCATTTTTTTGCAAAGGTATGAGCTTGTACAGTTACTGTAGAACTCTTAATTGTATGTGCACTTAGTCTATAGCATATGCCATGTATTCACCTATTGAAATGTAGAATTTCAGGTTAACTAATTACCTATTACTAATTACCTTCAAATAACAGTCCAATTCTTACTCACCCAGGTAAAGGTAGTCATCTTGTGGGTCATCTAACACCTGCACAAGTAGGAAGACAATATGGAGCTTAAAAATGGAGCTTATACCTGTACAATAATATAGTTACATGCATTCCAATAAAGACAAAATGTGAATGCTGCGCCAAGGATGCTATATTCCAAGGACATTATACACACATGTGTGTATAATGTCCTTGTATATTCTTTGTGGTTTGAGAGATGATCGTAACTTTCAGCTTTTGAAAAATGGGTCAAAAAGACCCTGAGGGTATGACAAAAAGGTCAGACAAAAAATTATCTTGACTAGAACTATATCAGTCATATGCTTGGTAAAAAAGCTCATAATGAGAATGCACAAAGTATTGATTATTAGATGGCATGAATCAGTGTCGTATAGGAGCTAACAGTATATACTTAGTAGTACTAAAGTCTCTACTTTCCTCATGAACAGTTTAGGAAACAACATTTACATGCCTGTCTTTTTTGTGGCATTTATGAAGAATGATTAGGTCCATTAAAATAATTGACGTGTAAAATAACAAGATACATGTACTATTCAGTTACACTGAAGTTAGACTTCCTACATAGCAACTTATGCATTTCAACCATATACAAAACTGTTAGTGAAATAGCGACTGTAGTTAGTCCATTAGGCCACACCAATTTAATTTGTTGGTTCTCGGATTTTTTCAGAAAAAATATGAAGCGACAGGGCGAAAAAAAATAAGAATAAAAACAGGCCTAGGCATCCTATTATAGGCTTAAATGGTACGAAATGAGCCATGAAGTCAACACAAAAGGCTGGGTTAAAATTTAAACATTGAATTTTGAACTTTTAATCAAACCACTGCAATGATAGATGAGAAAACTGTAACAACTAGGAAGAAAAGGACTTTCCTCAACTGTTGGGGGGCAAAACATGAGCATTTTTCACTTGATTCAGGAAAAGAATCATTTTTTTTTTTTTGCAGATCAGAAAAAAACGAAGAGGCGAATCCGAGAACCAACAAATTAAATTGGTGTGGCCTTACCAGCACTAAATAGCTGAGTCCTGATGTAATGTCATGTGATGACAGTTCATTCTTACCTCCTTCAGATGAACTATATTAGGATGATGCAGTTTTTTCAGAATGGCGATCTCCTTGTAGATCTGCTGCAGACCTCTGCTGGCCGGGGCTGCTCCACCCCGCCTGCCCACACCACGCGTGGGGGGGCGGCCTGGCCAGTCAGTTAGAGAGGAATTTTTTGAGAGAAAATATGAGGAAAATTTCCAAACATAATAACTCAAGAAGAGGTTGACAAAACATCATATTATCTAGTAGAGGGATAAATCTCTCTGAGTACTCTAGCAGACAATTGAGTACTCAGCAGTTCTCTTTGGATTAGGCATTGTTCTCCCAAATTCTATCTCAGATCTCTTGCAAGCTCTTACAAGTCTCTTTTTTACGACTGTTTTGTTACATAAATTTCCCATTTTTTGAAAAGTCTCTTTCAAAATTACCTGTGAAAACATGGCTGCTGTGATGTTGTTTTTATGTCATTGTTAGGGTTAGACACTAATCCCCATTTGATTATCTATTGTTCAAAACAATTGATGCTATCTGAGGGGGTCCAAGAAAGGCAGAAACATCAATAGATATCAACTATTTCAATGGTGACCTAATTTGCATGATTGATGAGAAAAAAATCTAGACTAAAAAAGCTGACAATTGTCTTCTGCCCAGACGAAGCTTAGTTTACTGACGGCTCACACACTGACTTAACACACTGACTTTTGTTTGTCATGAGCAGAAAAATTCCTTCAAATGATGAAAAAAATGGATGCTTCAGTACATGCATATGGAATTAAGTATAAATGAATAGTTGTTTTATTGCAAATTCATGTCCGAGGGCTAATTGCAAGTACACAAGAAACGTTTGGTGTAAGAACAGGCAAATTAATACACAAAGATCTGTTTACTACTAAAAGCTACTGGGTTTGACTTAGGTTTTGGGATGTTAAGAGCAGAGTAGTTTTCTTTTCATTTGTATATGACTGTGCAAAAGTTAGGGTAGAATTTGGAGGCTGCGTTAACAAGTTCATTTTGTTCATTGCTATAGAGAGTACAGTTTGAGATAAAAACATAATTAATTTTTCCTTGTTCATTACGGAGGAGTTCATTATTGTATGGGGGAGTCAAATTTGGAGTGGGGAGATGTTCAGATTGTTGGGTTGGTCTATTTCAGATCTACAAATTTGGAGAAGTAGTCTATTTTCCCAATGGGGAAAGATAGGCAGTGAAATATGCTGGGGACCCCGAAAGTGCGAAATGGAACGAAATGGAGTGAAATGGAACAAAATGGGACGAAATGGAACGAAATGAAACGAAATGTGTATGAAGGAAAGCCGTTAAGCCGTTCGTACGTTGGAACGGCGACGTCAGTGTCCGCTCGACGTCCAAACGGCAACGTTAAGATTGATGATATTCTTAGAACATATGCTTAGAACCGCAACGTTATAAGATCGATCAGGGTACGTTTAGAATAAAGTGACCACAACGTTATAAAGTACGTTAAGAATAAAGTGAGTTTTGAGTTGAGCAGTCAAAGTGTGCGGACGTGTTTTTCGTGGTCTCTGTCTGTCCTGGCATACGGTCACGGAGAGAAATTTTATCACCCGCCGCGTCCCTTACATGTAAACACAACGACTTGATTAAATAGATAGCAAAATATAAGGAATGGACTGTTTAAAATACAGAAGAGAGTGGTGAATAAATAATATGATGTGTTTTATTTCTTTAACCTATTCAATACTATTAGATACAGCATAACTTTTTTTGCTGTGTTTGTGTGGCTAATTTCTTCTTAAAAATGTGGGTACGGCGTGCAAAATCTGCGTAGGACGATATTCTAGTATGATTATGCTAATCACCCGCTGCGAATTGCACTAAATCGTGACAGGGAAACAGAACTGAGTATGGAAGTAAGGACTAGAATAAGGAATTGGACGGTAACATTTCATTTTCAGAATTCAACAAGAGTGCATGAGGCAAGCGTTATTATACAGCGTTTTTCACTTTTTGCTGTGTTGGCTGGGGCGGAGCTTACTTCTTTCCACCGCATGCAAATGATCCGCCATTGTTACCAACGGTTGGCAAAAATTAGTCACAGGAACTTTTCACGGTGGTTCAAAACGGCCCTGAAAATCACCACTCGTAGCTTATTAATATTGATGAAGATAAGATGTCACCATTGACAACTGTCCATGATTGGATGACACTTTTGTGGGCCGGCTCTAGGAATGTTTACCTTGCTGTTTGCCCCCTGCGAATTTTTCCCGCCAACTATGCGCACTTCTCCTGATCCTCAATTTCCTCAAAACGCCGCCCTTATACCCTTTTCTAAAAAATATAAAATAAACCCTGATTCGTACTGTAAAAATGATCTTGTTGTTTGAAAATATAGCCATTGATACAAAGTAATAAATGTTACATTACGAGTGCCAGTTTTCTAACACTGCCGACGTCGATCTTTCCATTCTCCGTTGTTGTTTTGATTCTGTCAGCGCCATCTTGGTTCCGTACTTTTATTGTAAGTTATTGCATGAACCACCAGTGTTTCTTGAACGTAACACATTTAGATATCATAAATTTAGACATCCCCGCGAGTTAACTGTAGTTGTCTCATTATTTCCTCTGGACATTGTTTCCGAGATCGGCAAAACTTCTTGCGGGAAGGCAGAACCAAGGACAAAACATGAGAAGTTTCGACTAGAATAACGCCGCAACAAGTTACCACACAAAGTAAAAACACTTTGACTACTCAACTCAAAACTCACTTTATTCTTAACGCACCCTGATCAATCTTATAACGTTGCGGTCACTTTATTCTTAACGTGCCCTGATCGATGTTGTATAACGTTGCGGTTCTTAGAATACCATCAATATTAACGTTGCCGTTTGGACGTCGAGCGGACACTGACGTCGCTGTTCCAACGTACGAACGGCTAAACGGCTTTCCTTCATACACATTTCATTTCATTTCGTTCCATTTTATCCCATTTCGTTCCATTTCGTTTCATTTCGTTCCATTTCGTTCCATTTCGTTCCATTTCGCACTTTCTGTACACCGAATATGCTGCATTAGCTTACAAATGATACTGATTTCTCCTTGAGTAAGTCCATTAGAAGACACCATGATGGTCCATAGTAAGTTAGTCCTAAGATCCTGAGTCTGTGAAATAAACTAAATCTGTTCTAAAGTATTCATTCAGTTATATATCTGACGTGTAGTCTGTCTGTGTCAACAGATTGAAGCAGGTTAGTAAATACTTACGGAAAAAATCTCTTTTGATGAGTTTTTTCTTTGAAATAATCTTCATTGCCTGTTAAATGAAATAGTTCTTATTAATAGACAAACAATCAAAGTTGTACATGGTCTATGAATATTTTAAACCTCATTGATTGGACCAATAGACTCAATAAATTATTATTATTATCATTATTAAAATACAAATCTCAGGATAAATATACAATCATCTGATGCACAAAGTCGTGTACATTGTTCCTGACAGTGTATAACTGCAAAGGTAGTATTATCATTATTGCGAATAATATGCAAGTTCTTTTGAGCCGAACTAAAAAAAATACTTTGTTGTCAAAGATTTCTGACCTACAATAATTATGGTTCCCAATGAGCTTATTGATCCATTCTAAAATCTGCTCGTATCTCACCAGATAGATCCTGTTTAATCCGTCCTGACATGATTGTCTTAAAATCCCTCAGCCCCACCCTCACCCCTTCCTGCCCGAACATCAAAGAACCAAAACATCAAACTTTAATACAGTAAACTGTCGTGGCCTTCAAGTGGGACATAACCATGGCTAAGTATGGACTGTATTTTTTTGACTTACTGCAATTTATGACCATTTTTAAGACATCATGATGACCATCATGTCATCAATAGCCATGTCCATATTTTTTAGAAAAAAATCATTTCAAGGCTAGGGCTTCAACAAAAATCCATGATATTCCTTAAAAATGTACATAGTAGAGAAAGTAAAAACTGTCTCATATTCTTTACAGCTGATTACTTACATCAAGTAAGCTGTTTTGGTTTTGGAGGCGGTGGAGCAGCTGTGGTATTTCTTCATATGTAGGTCAACTCGAGTATTAGTGAATGGGTTTTTTTTTTGCACGTGGGTAGCTGTTGTGGAAATATAGTTCAAGCTCAAAAATGGTCCACCTGGCTTCTCCCAATTGTACTGTTACAGTAGCAGAGTTTTTGTGCATTTGTAAGTTGTATGTATGCATTATAACTCGAAAATTTGTGAATGGATTTTAATGGTATTTGGTAGGTGAGCATCGGTTATAGAAACCAAGTTCAAGTTCGAAAATGGTTATCCTATCATGTTCCTACATTGCTGCAGAGAGTTGGGTTTTTTGTCTACTAGGTTTTTATTTGTGTGCAAAATGACTGAAGGAAATGCAGATGGTTGTTAGTGATATTCATTGGTTAGGTAAGGACAGGAAAGACGCTGGTCAATTCGATAATTGGCCTCCTAGTGGCTGTTTTAGGTATTGCAGCAGAGCTCTAAAGTTTGATGTAAAATCTTCCAGAAATGTTAGTGTAATGATTTTTAAGTGGTTGAAAGCTGTTGGGACTGGGAGTATACGTGGTATAATTTTGGGCCTCCTAGCAGATTCTATGGAACTGTACATGTAGTGGGCCTTTTTCACCCCATTCAGACCAGACTTATATTTAGCAGTTTCAACCGGTTTTTCAAAAACCGTTTTTTTAAGGATCTGATTTGCATAATTAATGAGGAAATTCTATAAATCTGCTTTGTTCCATAATAGGACTATGAACACTTGTGACATGTAGTTGAGAATGAGAAAAATATCTGGGGATATAGATTATGTAAATGAAGACCTAATTTGCATAATTAGTGGGAAATTATTATAATTTCATAGTTGTTATTGCAGTGAATCTCATACTTGCCGCATTTGGAAGTTAAGTGAGGGTGAACATCAATTAAGATAATTTATTCAAATTATGACCTCATTTGCATAATTTATCAGGAAGTGCTAGAATAGCCTTTCTTGTTAAGATAAGGCTGTCATTGGGTGGAGAATATGATGAACTGATGCAAATGAGGCTCTTATTTGCGAAATAAATGATTCAAATTGTAGAATTCGTCAACCGGAAGGGTAAACATCATTTGGCAAAGGTATGAGATCGTGGAACTCTTTTTTTTTATATGCCTCAGCCATGGTTAAATCACATTACATACAAGTCTTATCTGGTAAACTCACATAGTTTGTGTCATCTTTTTCATCATATGCTAGCTTCACAACACCATAGGCTCCCTGGGAGAAAGAGAAAGCATTAGAAATCAAGATGTTAAAATAGTCATCTGTGAATGAGCCTGCAGGGTAACATCAGATGGTACACGCAGAGTTAACACACTTCCATACACATCCCCCCACACACACATCCATACTCATCCCTACACAAACTCACATATTCATACTCTTCCCTACACAAACTAACACATCCATACTCTTCCCTACACAGACTCACACATCCATACTCTTCCCTATACAAACTTACACATCCATACTCTTCCCTACACAGACTCACACATCCATACTCTTCCCTACACAAACTCACACATCCATACACGTGTGGGGGTGTGAGTTTGTGCAGGGAAGAGTATGGATGTGTGAGTTTGTGTAGGGAAGAGTATGGATGTGTGAGTTTGTGTAGAGAAAAGTATGGATGTGTGAGTTTGTGTAGAGAAGAGTATGGATGTGTGAGTTTGTGCAGGGAAGAGTATGGATGTGTGAGTTTGTGTAGAGAAGAGTGATGTGTGAGTTTGTGTAGAGAAGAGTATTGATGTGTGAGTTTGTATAGGGAAGAGTATGGATGTGTGAGTTTGTGTAGAGAAGAGTGATGTGTGAGTTTGTGTAGAGAAGAGTATGGATGTGTGAGTTTGTGTAGAGAAGAGTATGGATGTGTGAGTTTGTGTAGACTCACACCTCCATATTCATCCCCACACACACCCCATCAGGTGTGTGTGTGTGGGGGGGTGACTATAAACCAAATGTACCACACCTCCATACTCACCCCCCCCCACACACACATATCCTCCCCACACAAACACACATCCATACTCAACCCCCCCCACACACACACACAGTGACACTCTCATCTCCATACTCATCCCCCTTCACACACACACACACACACACACACACACACACACACCACGCACACACACACACACCACACCACACACCACACGCACACACAGACACACACACACAATCCTCCCCACACAAACACATATCCATACTCATCCCGCCCCACACACAAATGCACCTCCATACTCATCCCCACACACACACACTCATCCTTAATTCCTAACACCCACACCTCTACATATTCATCCCCCCATCCACACACAAACACACACACACATTCACATGCATATGATTTATCATACACGCATACAAAAACACCACAAACACACCACATACACGTACGTGTAGCACTGTGTTCATTATTAATGTCATACATGTACCTTTCCTATTTCTTCTTTCAATCTGTACTGATTAAGCTGGGTGAAGTCCTGTTTGGGAAAGTAAAAAGATGCTTTGAAATTTGGTAATTAAACTAAAAGGTCAAGCATAGTTTGGTCCATGTTAAACTTCAAACATTTCTCTGCCAAAGACTTACCTTAAGCAAGGACATTATATAATGTCCTTGCCTTAAGGCATCAATGACGATAACAAGGTCAAATAAAACTGGGCAACTCACAACATGAAAATCATGACATACTTGTATCCCATAGTTACATTGGTTTCAAAACTTTGAGTGCTGAAATAATAATAATGAATTTTATGGAATTCATATGCTTTTTGAAAATACGTAATTATCATCCATTACTATAAGAGGAATTCATAAGATCCACTGAGAATCAGTGTTAGTACAATCATAATGGTAATATTTGGACAGTTGTGGATCGTACTTATCTTAGTTGTGGAATGTATGAATTCTGTAAAATTCATGTTTCTAAGTAAAGTATTGTATGTAATCATGAACAAAGCACATGAATTCCACAAAATGTGTATATCATAGATGCATTTGTTCCATAAAATTCATACTCTGAATATTGCTTTGTACCTTAAAATTTCAGGGCTGCGTTAACCAATCCCTGCATTTGTACGACTTGTGTTGTGTTGTATAATTTGAATTAATTAAAATTGAAATACCTACTACATGTGTACAATGTAGAAAATGTGGCAAATTATTTAGTATCAGACATATATATTAAGCAGTCTCACCAACATTCTACCACATGGACTATGCTGCCTTGTGTGATACCTTCATTAGACGTCAGACTGTCAGCAAACTTACCTCCTTGTCCATAATGCTGACTCTGTGGGACTCGGTGGCAGGCCTGCGTGGGTACCTGTGTGATAGCCTGGGTGAAGCCATGGGTGAGGAGTATGGTGAGTAAGGCAATGTTGGGTAGATGGGTCGATCCAGACACTCCTTCCCGGATGGTTCCTGTGGTCCTGATTGTGAGACTATGTTCTGACTGTCAGTAACAACTACTGATGGTTGTCTGTGTAGATCAGGCAACTGTGCATCCTTGACTTTGTCTAGAACATAGACAATGTCTTCAGGAAGGGAATAGCGAGTCTGTGTCCTGCCAAGTCTGGGTGGCACTGTGGTCAGAGGCAAGTTGGCTGTATTGCTGGCATGTAACATGTCCTTCTCCTGGCTCTCCAGGTCAGGAATGCTGTTCTGTTGTTTTGTATTGTTAGCAGGAACGTCTTGTGTCTGGGATCCCCTGGTTTCCTCACTCCCCTGGATGCCATTAGATTTCTTACATTTTAATGATTCCATCTGGTTGATGTTCTTACTGAGTCCAAGGGGACTTTCTTGATATTTCCATGTGTCCTCTTCCCCACTCACTGTTATCCCTCCCACATCTGCTGCGCCCAGCTTGCACAAGTGCATCTGTGAATCCTTTGCAGACACGTGTGGAGTCTGATCTTTCATGGCAGACATTTCAGGAAGACATTCTTTTTGCTGAGCCGAGTCAAGCAATAGTACAGAGTTCTGGTCTCCTCCCTCTAGCCCCAAAACTCCAAGGTTACTATCTGTGGAAAAAAAATCTTTTATTACTAGAAATAAGAGCTGTGTACCTGACGTACAGATACATGTATCATAAACAGTTACAGGTTTAGATATGAGGTACAGGTACATGTATACAGGTTTAGATATGAGGTACAGGTACATGTAACGTTATACAGGTTTAGATATGAGGTACAGGTACATGTATACAGGTTTAGATATGAGGTACAGGTACATGTATACAGGTTTAGATATGAGGTACAGGTACATGTATACAGGTTTAGATATGAGGTACAGGTACATGTATACAGGTTTAGATATGAGGTACAGGTACATGTATACAGGTTTAGATATGAGGTACAGGTACATGTATACAGGTTTAGATATGAGGTACAGGTACATGTATACAGGTTTAGATATGAGGTACAGGTACATGTATACAGGTTTAGATATGAGGTACAGGTACATGTATACAGGTTTAGATATGAGGTACAGGTACATGTATACAGGTTTAGATATAGGTCTGTACCTGTATCTGAACGAATCAACAAATTAACATGGCCTTCTAAACTTCTCCAATAACAACAGAAATGTTAATAAACTTGACAGTTAAGGGTAAGTTGTTGTTTATGGAGATGTTTTAGTTTTCATCCTCTACATGAGTGGCCTCATGCATCATTCAACAACTGACCAAAGTGACATCTATGTACATGTACATCTACAGGCATAAATAATCAACAGATCTTTCAGGGTAGCTACATGTAACACTGCCAGTCTGTAACACAAACACACTGTCCAGTCTCTGGGACCCGAGACCTCTGACTTGACTTAATTTTCGAAAACCACTGTTTTATTTTCAGGACTTACCTACCTGGTATGTGTTCTAGGTCTGGTATGCACTGTTCATCTGTCTCACTGAACCGGACCTGTGTAATAGCATAAAGCATGTACGTTTTCTTACTAACTAGAGCAGACCATTACTCAAGTGCAATACTATGCCTCATGGAAAAAGGCAAGCAGATCATCATGCTTAAAGAAGCCCAAATGCTTTATTTCTTTGACCTAACCACATATGTACCAAATGTTATTAGAATCCACCCACACCCACCCCACCTACACCTTTGGTGTAAGGCCATTCGATTTCAAACACTCACATAGAATCATGAATGCACATGTGCACAGCACACACATACTTACAAAGTTTCATACATGTATGAGTAGTTACATGTACATATATACTCTCATCTGCTGAATAAACGTACCGGTACGTTTATTTTTTTTTTTGGCCGGAACGTCCACCCAGTACGTTCTTATTTTGCACGGTACGTTTATTAATTTTTGGAAAATCAGTAATTTTTTTTCGAGTACGCATGAAAAAATCAACAAATCTTCGACGTCAAGACGCTTATAAAGGCGTATTGTAGCAGAAAACTTGTCATTACCTCCGGGTAGGGATGTATCCCGTGCGCGGAGGTTTTGTGGGGGAAGATGAAAATTACGTTCGCAGCCGTTTCTAGCGTTTGGGTGGACGGATATGTCTGGGACTTGGTATACGTTTTGCTATTGGGCTGTAGATGGTGCACGTTGTTTTTGTTTTTTAGTATGTGTGTTTTAGTGCGTGAAAATGATGCGTTTTGACAGCGTATGGACACCCCTTGTGTGTGAAAGTGGTTTTGTCTTTTGGTTTTCGGCGTGTATAAAGTGTCGTAGGTTGCGTCCACATCTGGTGAGAGGGGGTTTCAGGTATCGAGTGTGAAAATGGTCGCGCGGGTCGCAGCCAGCCAACTTCCGAGTGGGCCAATGGGTCAGGGGTCAACGCCCTCTTGCGCAATTTCGGATGTTTTCGGCGTATATTACGACTTCTTAACTTACAAATACCGTGGTATACTGTCTCAGACGTTCTCGACATGCATTTCGCGTTGGGGTAGACGGGACTCGGTGTATCTTCTGTTAATGGGCTGTAGATGGTGCTTAGGTTTTTTTTGTTTTATTGTATATGTGTTTTGGGGCGTAAGATTATTTGTATTTCGTGTCTCGGACACCCGTTACTGTTGTTAGTGTGTGAAAATGGTCGCGCGGGTTGACCATTTGCGGTTACATCTTCGCCAATCAATCAGCACACTCGGCTCGGGGTCGCCGATGTTATCCTGGAGCTAGCTTGGGTGCCATCCCCTACCGCGAGTGAGCGATAATCTCTCGGCCAGGGAAAGCCACACGCCCCGCCGACCCCTGATTTGCGCCCTGGCTCTCCTCGCGTCCGGATCTGGCCGGGTGTCTGTCATTGTCTGTACAAAGCCTCTCGAGCTAGGGGCGTGTCACTTACCGCGCACACCGGACGATTGGCGGCTGGCGCCCGGAGCGGTAGCGAATCAGAGCGGGTGGAATATTCATGAGCCTGTACTGTCGGGTCAAAGATCATGTTCTAGCAGATCACCATAGCAACACAGACAGGCTTTCGCTGGAGCGTGCAGGCGATATACTACTGTTGCTGTTAGTACAGTGGTTACGTATTATTAACGGCGAAGACACTAGAAACTTCTACCTCCATGCTAGAAATTATGCGTCGCAAGTTTATTTTACCACATATATTTAGATGCGTTAGAGTCCATTCGAAGTCACCGTGCGGTTTTTTTAATCATATTTCTAATATTTTCTAATTAGTTTCAAATAATTCAAGTTACCGCCCTGGGTGGATAACTCTTGTGGACAGTTTAGTTGCCCCGACGGCAGGACAGACTGCTATGGGACCGGTGAGGTGAGGTGAGGTGAGGAATTCGAAAATATTATAAATATTCTGAAATTATTATAAAAAATGTAAGTACCTGAATAGCATGTTTTCGAAAATGTTAGAATCATTTGCAAAAATTTTGAAAGTGGCAATCAAATGGGATCTTAATTTCAAAATGTTTACAAACACAAGTTTCGGAATTTTCCAAAAAGAAGATTGGCTCTTATCAATCAAGCGCTAATCGCCGCTTCACAGGCGGCTGTTTATGTTTAGACCTCGCGCGGCGGGACGTCGGCGGCCATCTGGACGGGCGGATCGCAGTTTTTCCCAGAGCCAGCCCCGCCATCGATTTGACACATTTCCTACAGCGCGTTATTCGCATTTTCGTCGGTTTAAACAAGCTTCAGCTTATTT